TACCCCCTCCCAATGACACGTACCCTGGCCCACACCACCCATCTTCTCTTCGGCAACCCACCTATCCTGGGTGGTATTGTGTGACCCCCCTCCTGCGGGGCAGAGGGAGGGGCGGAGTATGGGGGGTGTTGGAGGAGAGACATCCTGGACAGTTTGCCTTCAGTTCGGCTAACGGGTCCAGTCCAGAAGCCCAGCTCAAAACAGAAGCTCCCTCAGATGATCTTAGTCGTTGGTGAGGCGAGAACAAGAGGCATTGGTCTCGGCATGAAGATCTGCTTTGAGGACATCCATACCTGTGGGAACCTGTTGGAAGGTCCTCTACAAGACCTCTTGTAGATGGTCCTCTTCAAGACTGAGGTGAGAGTCCTAAATGCATAAGTTGCTGAATGTCTTAACGGTTCTTCTTTTCTCCTCGCAGAGCTGCGCTGACAATTCCTTAGAACAGTTTCAGTGTACTCGAAGTTTCTTTTGCGCCTTTTGGACAAGTCTTCTTCAAGGTAAAGATTTTCAAAGAGTATTGTGCAAGAGGGGTACAAAATATGCTACTACTGAACAAACTGGGTAAGATGTAATATTTGCTCCAAATTTGTAACGCGCTCAAAGAATAGATTCAAGAGGGTCAGTGAGACACCAGCTGTACCAAGAAACTGGTTGAAGAATATAGGCGTAGACAATGCCATCGTCCATTTATATTTTATCAACTGTTCTTTCTGGTCCTCATCCTTCATTCTCCACCAACATCTCCAACATCATACTTAATAATGTTTGTTTCCTCCCATTTCATCATGCTAAGTGGTTCAGTTGTCCGACCTTTAGAGTTGATTAGTGTACTCATCCTTCCCATTCCCACTAAAATGTCCCATGGGGCATGGCAAGTATGAGGGTAATATGATTACCACCCAGATGGATGGGCAGAATCTAGGTGGGTTTTTGGAAGAGATACTCTGGGATACCTTAGGAAGTGTTACCACAAGAGATTTTGCAGTAACAAGTTAAGAATTAGCCCTGATGTCCAAATGTTGTGGGATAGACGACACTGGCTGTGATGTGGAATAGACAACATTGGCTGCGAAAGAAAATGACATTGGTGGTTTATTCTTATTTGCCCATAGAGCAGTCTATTTGAGCAAGTTAAAAAGCTGGGGAGCTATTGATGTCCCTTAACAAGACAAGCATCACTTCAACAAACTCTATTTCTATAGATTTTTTGAAAACCTCTGAACAATTGAGTGACAGCAAACCCATGTGATTACCAAGCCACTCTCGTTTGTTAACCCCCATTCTGGAGTTCTCTTGAGTTCCATTTCATTATTCTACTGAAATTTTAGAAAATTAACAGTTTTGTCGACTGGTCATCAGGCATAGATAGTAGGGAGGTGTATGATTTTCGGAGAGGGTGGGGTTTGACGCAGTTTTTGCGCAGGAAGGGCGGTGCCTGCGAATCTGCAGTGAGAACGTGACCTATGACTAATCTTTTTTTCCTTTTTTTAAATTTTTGCAGACATCCTTAGTCACCGTCTATCACGAACACCTTTTCCACCGTCTCCTATTGTGTCGCTCTCGGTAATCACCTGCAACAACCTCTATGATATTGCTCTTCTCGATTTCCAGTAACTTCCAGTTTCTGGAAACCTGAATACAGTCTTTTGGAGAACAGATACACCATCGAAGGACGGCTGAAGAAGACAACTTCTTGATCTTTTGATGGTCTTTTTGAATTACCTTCACCCAGTGATCTATGACTTGTGGTTCCACCTTATGTAGACTTGGAGCCTCGACCTGTTCCCAGACGACCCTCATTGTATTCTGCATGATTTTAAACAGCATTTTAATGTACATGGACCATTCCATCTTGTCTTTTGTGACTGATCCACAACCTGAACAAGTTGCTACTGACTTTACGACTTTGCCCAGGACACCATTGTGCTTGATCTAACCATGCAGTTCCCTTTCTGTCCATGGTTGTGCCAAGCACTTTGGAGACTTGTGTGCACTTTCTTCCAGGTTTTTCTTACTGTTCTTTTCCTCTTAGATCCACAATCTAAAGAATCGAACCTTGTGCAACAGTCTGTTGAAGTGTAACTTTTTGTCCCAAACAAGAGTATTTTAAAGAGAATAAAATGCATTATGTTTTGTTTGTTGATTGTGACATGATCATTATAGCTTGAAAAATGAGTGCAACAGTGAGTGGAAATAGTGACACTGTGGTCAAAATAGTGTTAGTTCTGTTGCCAACATGCACTTCCTCAGCAAAGCTGATGCCATGGCTTGATATTTCTTTCTCCGTGTCCTTTCAATTTGCTCATACACCTGAAGCCGTAACCACCATAAACAGAAGGGAGAGATATATAGCCTACCCAACCTCCCCAATATTCAGAGTAGGTCTCAATCCACATGGGGATTCTTTTTAAGTGCAGTTGCATGCTCATTCGTCATAAGAAAATGTATGAACAAACTTGACACATCAGCCACCGTTTTCACTACTGAAACAAAAACATATCTGGCTATAAGACAAAAATACTTTAGTAATGTAAGCCTTGTTTGAAAAAAATGCAATCTTAGATGCAGTCAGGAGGTCATGAAGATGGGTGGCGCTCACTGCAGAGCAGCACTTACAGTCAGTCTCTAGATGAATGAACCACTCTCTTTTACCGTCTGAGGTCAAGTTAGGTTGCACTGCTCAGCTCCAGTCATTTTCGAAGTAATGGACTCCGCTCGGAGTCGTGTCATCTGTTTGCCTGTGCACAAGTGTTTTATTTATTGAATCTTAGGAGATTCGCCCTCTTCACGAGACCAGCTCACATTTTAGAATTATTCATAGCACTTTATGGAGATTTTGAACACTTTAACTGATTCACTGAGGGGTTTAAAAAAGATGCATATCAACCATAAAATGGATGAATGAATGTCTAACTATGAATGTAATCAATCAATAAATGCTACAGAAGTCCAGCCAATGAAAATGCACTATAATTGAAGTACAACCATGACTACCATTATGTATTTTATCAATATACACAGATACTGCAGCCAGTCTGGGTGTGATGTGCATTTTGAACGGGAACAAAAGTAACATGCATGACTTGACTTTTACATTTACTTTTAAAAGAGAACGTCAATGGCGTTTGCTTGTGCAAAGCTCGCCGACACGATGCTAAGGTGTAACCGAGGCTTTGCTGTAATTTAGGTTAGAGGTTTATTTAGATCACTAACCTTCAATAGGAGAAATGATAATACTGATAATACTTAGCAAACACCATTAATACATATCTAGACTATTAAGTAAATGCAGTCTATCTATGAAGTATGTTGTTGGACTTACATTTATTCTGTTGTTCCCAGAAGTGGCTGCATGATGCTTAAAAGCTATTAAAACATCAGATTTACTGCCCTGTTTTTGAAGGTCACAGTCATCGATACTATGCCAACATGAATAAAAATGAAACAAGACTCAGAAATTATTTCAAATTATTTTATTGTCACCAATTAATGAATTAGGTGGATCATTTTCACATTAGAGCAAAAAAACAAACTCAAGCTCCTGGCGTCTCAATCATTCAAACATACACTATTTCACTTGAGAACACAGGAGAACACTTCTAGTTTAGATATTAGAAAAAGTGAATCAAGCGCATTAAACTGTGGTTGAGTTTTTATCATGATGCTTTGACTCAAATCATAAGCGGAAGAAAATGCACTTTTCAGTATACTAGTGTATATCCGAGTTTTCAACATGATGTTTAGATGAAACGGAAGAAAACATGGTGCTCAACAACCATGTTCAGGATGAGTGGGCTTATGTAATTTGCATGGAAATAAATTGTTACTTTTGGGAAACGGAACAAGACATGACACTGGGATATTTGTATTTGTTTTAAGGAGTAAAAAAATTATAATAAAATTGTCGTTATGCAATATTAGTACAGTACATAATTTCAACTTGTACCTCAGTTAGTAAAAAACTAACAAAAAACTTTTTCCAATGTAATGTACAAATCAAAACATTTTTCTGTTGTAAATGATGTCAATAGAGTGTAACATCTATAAATGTGTAATATTTAATAAAAGACCTTTTGACTGACCACTGTGAACAATAGTTTTAAACATGAATAAAAATCATAGAAAATGATTATCACCACCTTTAATAATTTTTATTTTTTTTTCTCAACAACAGCAACAACAAAAAAACAACTATTTTTGCTGTCTTTTTCCATTAAACACACTGGGATGTAAAAAGGGCAGTTATATCTAGATGTTAAACTTACACAAATATATTTAGGCTATGTCTTTTTATGATGAGCCCTAACAGAATGGTGCGACAAGGGTATTCTGACTAAATTAAAGAAACAAGGACATAAAAAAAAGAGGGAATTCATTTCATATGGAACAATAGTGAACAGGATGCTGAGGTTTACTTGCACCTTCAGTAAAAAGCAGATATTCAAAACGGAAAGTCAAATGCTTGATTATATGGATGTCATAATCAACTAACTCAACGGTGCAGCTTTGGGACCATTCACATTTCAAGTGCAACATAATTCCTTTGAAAATTATGCTATTTAGTTACCACTCACGTAACAAAAAATGTCATGCCATTATCAAGTGCTAACCTCATTTAAACAAAGGACATCTGGATGTCATACAAGCATATATTTGCACATCCACCAAATAAAATCTGGGATTCGAAAGATCTGCTTTCATTTCAGATGTTCCTCTGCAAAGGCCATAAAGATAAAACGGACACAACAAGATGCATGCACCTTTCCTCAGATGATTTACATATTTTTCTCCACAAAACAAACTGTAGTGCTACTGTATGTATAACTTCACTGGTGTCACTACATACATCAGTATGAAATAAAGGTCAAACGATGGGACGGAGACCAAAACAGGACAACAATCTAGATTCAAGTCTGCAGGTTGATCAAAATCAGTGTAATCTGCATCAACAAGCGAAGTTTGACTGTACCAATTCATTTTTTTTTTTTTTTACTTTTTTGAAGTAAACATGTATAACACAGACAATCCCATTAGAGTGGATTCCCAATCACAATAAAACACCCCTAATTCTTTGCAGAGTTTGTATACCGATTTGCACATTGTCCTTCAAATAGCCCTCTAGAGCGCAGGAGGAAGCTGAGCCTGATCATGAGGATGTTGCGGTTGGCATAAGACACACCTCTCTTGTGTTTCCAGAGGTTTTGGTGATCCTGTGAAGGCTGTTTGGGTTTTACTGGCAGTGAACATTCACACGGTAAATGAGGACGATGGCGACTCGATCTGGTTCAGCTGAGCTCATCACAGTATAAACTGGAAAAAAGAACCACATAGTGAAAAAAAAGTGGCTTTGTGTGCACAAGCAACTTCCTGAAGTTGAAACTGGTAGGGCATGTGCATGCTTCTGTTGTTTTTCAGCATCTCGACAGCATGATTGATTCTGATGATCGTGATTTAAATGCGGAGTGAAATGCTGTTTGGCAGGCGAATCTACAATTGATAAATGCCGTTATTTTGGCTCATCTCAGCAGTTTGGTTAAGATGCACCCTACAGAAAGAGGAAGCAAACTAACAGCTCATGAAATGGGGGATGTGAGCGCTCAGTATGACAGCTAGTGCAGGACTGGCATAGATGAATTTTGGGAAAAGATGGTTTGAATTTCTTTGTGGTTTCAATTAATGATCCTATAAGTGAAAAATGTTCTGTTCCAGGTCATTTTTCAACAGTACATCAATCGCTGTGGCCAGACACTCAGGCGTAGATCTGACTTGGGCCACCGGCGTGAGCATTATCAGCTAGTCGTTCTTGGGTGGGTTGGGTAGGTTTGATGATATTGACGTAGTCGTGAACACCGACGTCCATGTTTTTAGCTTTGAGAGCAGCGGTGTGAAGCTTCTCCAGGAAGTCTGGCATGCCTGTGAGATAGAGAGGAAGTGAAATCTTTGCGAACAGGTGTCAAGAAACAGCAGCTGCAGAAAGGGCAGAATTCATGAACGACTTTCATGATGGCAGCCAATTCATCTGTGAAATTCAGAGATCCTCATTATGTAAATATTGTCTGAAAAAACTTGTTAAATTGTCTATAAAAAAATAATACATGTATACAGCAAAATTGTGCATGACTCAATTTCTAAATTCTAAGGAATCTAAGGAAAAAGCTATAAAATTACTCAAAATAGGGGCAAACATAAAAATCATATACAATGTGAAACATATAAGGTGAAATATTATTACAATTTAAAATAACCGTTTTATATTTTAATATATTTTAAATGTAATTTATTACATGAATTTTTAGCATCATTACTCCAGTCTTCAGTGTCACATGATCCTTCAGAAATCATTCTAATATACTGATTTGCTGCTCAAGAAACATTTCGTATTATTTTAACGAATTATTTTATTTTCGTATTATTTTTAACTTTAGTTAGTGTGTAATGTTGCCGTTAGAGCATAAACAACGTCTGCAAAGTTACAACACTCAAAGTTCAATTCAAAGGGAGATATTTTCTTTTAAAGAAATCGCTGTTAAAGGACTACAAAAAAGGCTGGTAGGGACTACAACGAGCTTCTTCCCGGGTTTGTGACATCACTAACCCCAATGTTTACATAAACCCTGCCCCCCGAACCATGCAACTACCCGTAATGGTAAGGGGGCGTGACGTTTCCGGACAACGTGCATTAGGCGGTTAGCGAATCACAACACACTGGGCCAGCTGACCAATCAGCCCGACTGCGTATTTCTGAGGGAGGGGCTGAGGTTTAGGAGTAGGTGTGGGGTTAGGATTAGGCAATCAGGTTGCGACTTCAACAATGGGGGTAATAATTTGGCAGGGGGTCGAAATTGGACACAATAGGTGTTGTTACATTTTTTAAATTTCAGTATCAACTTGGTACAAAAGTACTAATAGCCTACTTTTGACAACAATCAAAATGATTTGTTAACAAGTTCCTGAATTAATGTTAACAAAGCTGCTTTCCACTTTACTACAAACATTCATCACAAGACGAAATGGCATCATTCAAAATACTTCTCTTAAAGCTGACCACTGGATAGAACGTTAGAAAACACATCAGTGTTCACTGTCAGAAGTCAGTAGTGATGCTACTGCTACTGAACACTACTTTAGGATGCATTACAGAGAGGCGAGATGAAAAGAAAACGCCATGTAAACTTTTCTGAAAACAGTCAGTTCCCCTCATTATTATATTAAGGATTTTCTTCCAATATTTTGCGCATCATGAACAGAGAGTTTGCTCTGCCAGCTACAGTATTTTCCCCTCTTTGCATTTGTCCTCAGCGTCTCTGGCCTCTGTTAACGTCCCATTTACAGACCTCGTATTTCCACACAAATTACATTTTCGAAAATGCTAGCAATACAGTTTGTGTGCAAGTCCGGAACAGAGATCGGCTGAAATAAAACAAAAGAGCTGGTTGCCGTTTGTGCGTTTAGAGCAAAAACAGGCCGGTTCCGATTTATGGCTGTTTGAACATTTTCTAACATACATTTTTTTCGGGCCAGTGGTAAACTGTTCCTTCTTGGCTAAAGGAAAACACAATTACATTTTTAAAAAATAATTTTCCAGGACAACAACAAGATTTTCCACGACATTTTACATTTTCTCTTATTTTCCATGTGTTTTCCAGAACTGGAATATTAGTCATCAATTTTCCAGGTTTTCCAGGACGCGTGGGAACACTGATGATACACTTTTCCAGAATTCTTTGATAATTTTTTTTTATACAAATACTTTTCTAATATTACAAATGTCTTTACTGTCACTTTTAATCAATTTAATGTGTCCTTTATATTTATGTCCTGTAAATTCTCTCAATTCCCCCAGCACTGCCAGGTGTGAAAAAAAGATAATACTGGACCCTGGATACATGTCCAAATTGGAGCGCATATTAAAAAAACAAAGTATGAGTACACAAAACAGATGGCTCACCGCTAGACACCATCCAGCTGACGCAATAGCGAGGGAAGACCGTCTGGGGATCATCGCTGTAAGTCAGCAGGTAATCAAAGCCATTCTGTTGAGACAAGATAACTAGCTTAAGACTGCAAACTAAGACCAACCGCAGACAGACTGACACACAGGAGATTCCCTATTCTCACCTCGTCAAATGACCGATGTGGGCGGATGACCATCTTGGACTGGTAAGAGTGAACTCGGACGAACTCCTGGATCTCTGGGACACTGGGGTGTTTGATGGCTCTGAACAGAGAAAGCAAGCACACTTAATATAAAGGACACACTTCAACCAATTAACACTAATTAAAATGTCACTAAATAATTCCTATAAAATGGCAACAACAGTTACCTGGAGACTAAGATCATTAAGTTGTTCTCCACATCAACATGATATCTGCGCACATAGACATAGTCTCTGGAGTACATGGGATACTGCACAGGAAAGGCCAACAAATTATAACATTAATAAGATTAAGCTTAAAGGCTTTTAAATCTTCAGTCAACTATAGTGTTGTCAAAAGACCCGGTATTTCGGTACCAAGCCGGTACTAAAAAAATGAAAACGTTACGGTACCAGGTTTTCTTAAGTACCGTGTTTTTAATACTACAGTTTGCATCTATTTGATATACACTTAATATTTGTAATCTTATCTAAATTTATTATAAAAGCTGAGGTTTGTTATTTTCTGAAAAGTTATATTTTAGCTGGTGTCAATGATCTTATGTTGCATTTGGTCAGACTCAGCCCATTGCTTTACTGAAGGATATTATATTGTTCTTTTACAGCTGCAGACTGAGGAAGATCCTGAAACACACCAGCAAACCCTAAAACAGACAACAGTTTACAGATGTTTTTCAGCGGCAGCAGAACTATGACTAAACTTTTGGGTGAAACTTGTTTACTTTTTTCATACTTTTATTACTTGTGGAAAAACTTGAAACAATTTTAAATAAGTATAAAGAATGGCATTGGTTTTGTACATTTAATTTCTGTTTAACGTTATTAATAAAAATGTTGTTCAATTAGCATGTTTTTGTGTTTTGCTTTGGTACCGAAATTGGTACCGAGAACCGTGGATTTTCACTGGTATTGGTACCGAATACTGAAATTTTGGTACCGTGACAACACTAGTCAACTAGTACTAGATTACACTTCTGTTAATTCAACTCAACCCATTAACTGCCCATTGCAAAAATCACAAGGATGTTTTCTTGTTATGACAACAGGCAGTGGAGAACTTGATTGAAAGCTTACTGGAAAATGCGTGGCCCAATGAATGACCTCGGTGCCTGTGTTGACGTCCCTGTCCACCACTTCCAGTTTAATAACCAGCGCATCCCACTTCTTTCTGTACTCTGTGTCCAACTGGGGTAAAGGGAAATATTTGAAAGAGTCTAAATATAACATTCAAATACCAACAGCAGATACCAACCACACGCGCACGCGCACACACACACACACACACACACAGACACACACACACACAGACACACACACATATAACATCTTTAACAAATGGAGCGCAAGGCAGGTGACGCCTGAAACATGTAACAGGGTTGCCAAGTCTCGCATCTGGTGTGAAGCACGCTCTGTCTTATGCCACCACACTAAATCTCACACCAAATAACAAGACAACACAAAATGCACTTGAATGATGCTTTCTTCAGCGCATAACTTACATTTTACTCTTATATTCTTTTAAACGTTATGAATCACAAGCATATTTTCAAACAAGTGGAGCGCAACAGAAAAATTAATGCAATCATTTAGATTAAAATATGATGGTTTTCATTACATATTTGTTGTTGAACATGAAATTTAGGTCAAAAAGTATATTTTTTAGGAACAGTAACTGGAATCTTATAAGAGTCCCTTACATTTACAGGAAAAATAATGAGAGTAACATGTTATTCATGTGTTCAGAGGAGTAAATGTGTGCCTGCAGAACATTTGACAGCTGACCTGTTTAAAACGTTTTCTTTTTCTTTATTATCTGTAATTTAGTGATTCTGCTTGCTTTTTTAATTATTATTATTTATAAATTGCTCCACATGAAAAATGACTTGCCGGTACTCCTCAAGTAATAATAGGTAAACAGCATGCAAGTATTGAAAAGTTTCTTGTACAAAATTAACATTCAGTATTAAGATGAAATTAAAAATGAATGGTTGCATCCTCAAGATCTCATACAGGCACCTGTGACTGGTTCAGGCCATGCCATCAAAATCTCACTCCAGCCAGGTAACCAAAGTTGGCAACCTTGCATGTACTGTAAGTCTATGGAAGCTTGAGCAAATCTGAAGCCGACCATCACCCAACACAAACGGTACATCATACAACTCGTTTTACTTTGTCTTGCTGAAATAGCAAAGTAAAACTCAAGCAGTTAATACTAATTAAATTATTTAGTACCTGAACATTGAAGAACTGCCGGGGGGTGACGTCTGTATATGAACCAAACACTACAACAAGAGAGCCAGACATGTAAATCTGTTGTTTGAATAGGATTGGACAAACGGTTGGCCCATGGTAAAAAATACACATTCAAGTAACACATAAATATACAAAAATTAATTACTAATTAATGACACAATAAATATATGTTGTTTTACCGTTTAAAACATACCTCTGTATTCAAAAAGATGGCTACCCTGGATAGGTCTCCTCCAAACCCTGAAGTTCTTCTTCTCCATGACCAGCTCCCAGCCTGGATCCACATACACGGCTGTCTTTGGGTTCACATTCTGGCTTCTCACCGACTCCAGTGCCTGCAGCTCCCACACACACCTAAAGCACAAGTTCAGACGAATTGTGCTTTAACCACAATAATGCGTAAACATGAAGATAAAATGATACCAAATATGCTACAAACATGTTCAAATAACATTTGGCTAAAATGTCATCAAAAACACGCCCTCTAAAGCCATAACAGCCTATCTGACGCCATAACACCTGAACACAAAAAGTGATTGACAGCTAGAGAGCGTTTCTGATTGGTTAATAGAAGGGCTATGCCTGTTTTGTTTACAAAGCTAAGGTCCGTTGGACTGTAGACACTTAACCAGTGTGAATATCAGATCATGGGGTCACATTATGTCTTATTCCAAAATTACATATAGCACCACATGAACAGTCCAGAAGTGAGGGAAGTACCTTCTCAGCTCATCATCTCCAATCTTCTCGTCTTCCCACATGAAGACTCCAGCCAGGGCTGCTAGGAGTTTTCCAGTGTGGGCGTGTTTGCTCTGCAGGCGCCGCCATATGTTGCCCACCAGTGTCCACCTGCTCCTCTCAGAGTACAGGTTTGAGTACAGCTCTCCGATCTGAAGAGCCCTTCTCAGCCTCTGGCCTGTCACAAAACTACAGTGGTTGGCGATTATAGACAATAGTCTCGCCTTCTTCTTTTCGTCGCAGGCCAGCTTGTTCGTTCCCCTTCCTGCTTTTTGGAGCCATGACACCAGCAGACCCACGCGCTCACCCAGCCACGACAAACTCCACGATTTGCTACTTATCGCACCACTTTGTTTAAAAGTGCTGAAGCTTTGCAGTCGGACCGCTCTGGCCCCTATATTGCACACAGGGCGTTGCTGGACGGAGGGGAACATCTTTGTTTCTAGAACCACGAATCGATGATATCTAAATTTGCCTTTGAAGTGCACTTTTTAGCTAAAAAACAACGATTTACTATACAGATTAGTTCCCATGTATTGATAGGACTGAGACAAGTGCAACGCAATGCCAATTTGACATGCACTAGCGATTATCTTGCAATTTAAAACGACAGGTTTTAACGGACAACTAAAATGCACGAGAGCAAAATATTGTTTTATTTTTGTATTCTCATCTCACATTATGAGACGCTATCATAGTAATTTACTAGATAAACAAACAGTTCGACATTTGCTAACAACTGCAATAACAGATCAACTAACGTTAGCTAGCCAACATTCAATGACATGCGACCGCGGGCAAACTGTGATTAAATCAACGACAACAACTCGAATGTTTTAAACGGTATGTAATAACAGCTAAACTGATTTTTCGTATTCCTATCCTTAAATTAATCTTACTTTTATCCTCGTGCGTTAGCTTCATGCCCTCACACCTCTCAGTTGCGTCGAACTTGCCTATTAGCCACGCCCTTCTCCGTTTTTACGAGTTTCTATTGGCTGTCTCTTACGTTAAGGATGCACCTCTCATTCTAATAGGGTAATATGGCTGTCTGTCTTCGTTGGTCGCCACCCTAGATCAACCAGCATTTCACATGACTCACCTTAAGTCAACCCATTGGTAAAGGTCCTCGACAACTTTAAAGTTAAACAGATTTACCACGTTAGTCCGTGCTGTAACTATGAAATAATGAGCCCCTTATTCCATGCAGAGTAATCAGAATTAGGATAAGTAGATATGTACACCTACTAATTATTATTACCACATTATTCGTCACATTTTGGAGTAATAGTTAAGTCATCAAAACTATTAAGTAATTTATTATTTAATAAATTCATTTATTAAAATCCATGCGTAGACAGTCTATATTTGTCTACTAAACTTTAAGCTTTCATTATCTATCTATCTATCTATCTATAGATAGATGGCTACCCTGGATAGGTCTCCTCCAAACCCTGAAGTTCTTCTTCTCCATGACCAGCTCCCAGCCTGGATCCACATACACGGCTGTCTTTGGGTTCACATTCTGGCTTCTCACCGACTCCAGTGCCTGCAGCTCCCACGCACACCTAAAGCGCAAGTCTATCTATCTATCTATCTATCTATCTATCTATCTATCTATCTATCTATCTATCTGTCTGTCTGTCTGTCTGTCTAGATATATTGAGCCCATTCAAATAATAATTCCTGTCTTTATTATTTCACATGGGCAATAAATGCCCTATCTGAAGTACATACAGGTGCATCTCAATAAATTAGAATGTCGTGGAAAAGTTCATTTATTTCAGTAATTCAACTCAAATTGTGAAACTCGTGTATTAAATAAATTCAATGCACACAGACTGAAGTAGTTTAAGTCTTTGGTTCTTTTAATTGTGATGATTTTGGCTCACATTTAACAAAAACCCACCAATTCACTATCTCAACAAATTAGAATATGGTGACATGCCAATCAGCTAATCAACTCAAAACACCTGCAAAGGTTTCCTGAGCCTTCAAAATGGTCTCTCAGTTTGGTTCACTAGGCTACACAATCATGGGGAAGACTGCTGATCTGACAGTTGTCCAGAAGACAATCATTGACACCCTTCACAAGGAGGATAAGCCACAAACATTCATTGCCAAAGAAGCTGGCTGTTCACAGAGTGCTGTATCCAAGCATGTTTTCACTAAAAATGTTTTTTTTTTATTGGTCTTATGAAGTATTCTAATTTGTTGAGATAGTGAATTGGTGGGTTTTTGTTAAATGTGAGCCAAAATCATCACAATTAAAAGAACCAAAGACTTAAACTACTTCAGTCTGTGTGCATTGAATTTATTTAATACACGAGTTTCACAATTTGAGTGGAATTACTGAAATAAATGAACTTTTCCACGACATTCTAATTTATTGAGATGCACCTGTAAATCCTATGCTCCTGAACCAGGAAAGGGAGAAATACTCCCTTGAAGTAACTTTTTGCTGTGGCCACGTGGGGGAGTTATAGCACAGCTTGCAGCATCACCTTCATTGAGCTTCATCTCAGTCTATCCCATGACTTCCGATAACCCACGAAAGGAACTAGATAAAATTAGTGTCACAGGAGATGCAAATACGGGAAACAAGAGACGCCTTTGTAATCTGACAGTTGAACACATGACTATTAATAATCACCAACAGACATCAGTTTTATCTTAATATATACACAATGACACTTTGTCCCTTTTTTTGAATAATTAAGAGACTGTATTAAAGAAAGAGACTCGACTTAGATATTTGTGAACACATTTGTGAATATATATCCGCACTCTTTTTCTAAATCTTTTTATATATAGTCTTATTTTACTTCTTTAACGTCAGAGAAAATAAATACCAAATCAATTATGAAATTTAAAAAAATAACTCAATTACTTTTTACAAAAAACATTATTTTAAAGCATCTGTAAACATCTGAAGTGAAGTATTTTTAGGGTAGGTGCTGCGTAAAGTCTTAAATTAATATTTAAAATGCCTGGATTCTACAGATTTTGAATTTTCATATTATACAGTCGAACAGTCTAAGGTTGGGTTAAGTAAACCTTTTTTTTCTCCTGATATCGCCAAATAAGGTCAGAGGGCGGGGTTTACTGTTCGACGTCACTATCCGCTGAAGACGGCCCCGCCCCCACAGTCGGAGGATATATGTGTTGCCTGGACAAGCAGGAACTTATCAACTGAAGCCGGTTGAGAGCGGTTTATTGCCAGTTTTTCATTGATTCAAGAACTTAAAACAACTAACAGTGTCTTGTTTGTAGTCTTAAGCTTTGAATTTACTTTATTTATCCGACGTTAGTGCTTAGTTAGAAGCGAGAGCGTTTGCTATCTCTCACCCCGCGCGCGCGGAACGCGGCTACGGGAAGTTGACTGGGCGGGCTGCAGTGTCAAAAATATCTAAATCGACATTTATCGACAATTTTGTTTGAGTGGTGAGTAAAAACAATTTTTTTTCTTATTCTAGTTGGCAGTGAGTGATATTTGTCTTACTTTCTCATCGACATTTTTCCGTTGGCTAATTTGAACGGTTAGAATGAGCGCGAGCTCTGGCTTTGTCAGCTGACTCGCGTGGAAACAAAAACGCCAGGATCTCTTTACGATTAGTTAACACCACAGTGCCACTGATATATGTTGTTTTATGTATACAATTTTATTTTTGGGCTATTTTGGTATTTCAATAAAGTAATTTTGATTTATAACGTTATATTAGCTGTTAGCGGGTGTGTAATGAATGACGACACGTGTAGTGCGGAGCCGGCGCGCGCAGGAAAAATGTATATCGCCTTCTTAAACTAAGAGCCTTACAACATTTCTGCACTGAAGTAGTGTAATATTTTATTTTAATATTAACATCAGCGAATTTTAGCTGTTTAAAACGGTCGTTTTTAGGGTTCTCGAGTAATGTGGTTCCTCAAGCTAACGTTAGCGAGGAAGTGCGTGTCTAGCGCGAGCGGGGAGAACTGGCTCAAACAGCCCTGGAGTGACAGTCAACCGCATTTCATCGGGAATTTCTGCGTTTCTTTGCCAATAAAGGCTGCATTGCAGGAATGTGCTGGAAAGCCACATGACACCAATGCGCTGACGGCTTAATTTGAATACTAGTGTCTGTTTGTTGGCTCAAAGTGCTGCCTTCTCGGGCTTATAAAACAAAGTGGTCCAATTGACTGATCACTTTTATTTTAGTTTTTTTAAAGGGGTCATATGATGTTGCTAAAAATAACATTATGTTGTGTATTTGGTGTAATGAAATGTGTTTATGCGGTTTAAGGTTCAAAAAACACATTATTTTCCACATACTGTACTAGTGTTGTCAAAAGACCCGGTATTTCGGTACCAAGTCGGTACTAAAAAAATGAAAACGTTACGGTACCAGGTTTTCTTAAGTACCGAGTACCCGGTCAACCCGGTTCCTGATGCGCTAAACGAAAGCTATCCTCTTCCAGTGTTGCCAAGTCCGCGGTTTAACTGCATTGTGATTGGCCAAATACCTCAAGCGTGTGACGGAAATGTTACGCCCCTCACCATATTGTGATACCGTGTCCCGGCCGGAGCGACGAAACAAAAACATTAAATCCCATTATAAACGAGGCATTTGTTGATTCCAGTGGGGACATAATTACACAATATGACTTAAACTGTCTTTTTACGCATTGCGTTGCATCGCGCTGCGTAAACATAAAACCATGTCTGAATTTGTGATCGGAGAAATGACAAACAACAAGCGTTACTCTACACTGCCCAAAAAACTCGCTTTAAATATAAAAAATATAAAATATAAAAAATATATAAAAACGCTTGCTTACAATCTGTGAGTCAGAACAGCCGGCATTGTAGTCTACTCTCCCAGGATCAGGAAACAATCCTCC